ACACAGCAACTAAATGTGCATCCCCTGTTGGCCACAAATGCCAGGACTAAGCCTTTCAATGATTCAGGGGTAACGACTTTAGAGTTAACAGCACTGAATGTTACACCTTTACACTTAACCTGAGTCTTATCCTTTTTTGTGCTAAAGCATAGGGTTTTGGACCACCGGAGACAAACCCTGTACTGTGATCATTCTCCTCTCCAGACCCACCATCACTGAGCTCATCAGTCAGCTCGCTGAGATATGAGCCTAATGGAAGCACCCACTCACTGGGATGAGAGGTGAAGACTAACAAGCCATACAACACGAGCCTTGCATTAGCTGTTGTCATTGCACTGACAAAGACATTCACATCCTTCACCGGCGACCCTCTACCATCAGCGTGACACCACTGGACCATAGCTACATCATCAGAGATGAAACAAAGCTGATGTCATAGTGGTCACTAAACATCACTAATCATCTGTCAGGGTCTGTAATCAGCTCACATGATGGCATTTCTGCTCGCATGGAGAACTGCAGTTTATTACAACTGCTGATTTGTGTTTAAAGAAAAAACAAAAACAAAACAATCTTAGTGGGTTCTGATGTCCTTTGTCTTCAAACTTCTGCTGTTTCTCAGCTGCTTTCACATTTTTTGGGTAACCAGATGCCTGCTGCTTGAATTTCAAAAATGTTTTGACATATGGTTTAAACAGTGTGTCAGTCTTGTTCTCAGAGCAACCACCTTCTCACAACTCGCGTAATACAGCTCACCATATCAGAGCTTAGGGTTAGGGTACATGCACGAGCAGAGGTAGCAAAGCTGAGGTCTGCTGTGTTGGCGTTTATTATGGAAAGTTAGTTGTAGTAGCTCAGCCTTCACCCACAGAGTCTGAACAGCAGTAACAAGAAATCAGGTTACAGAATCATTAATGACCCTTTACAGAAAGGACACCGAGGGAGTCTAACAAACAGTAATGTTTGTCTAAAGCTGATGCAAAGCTACTTTAATACATTAAAAAAAGAAAAAGAAAATCTGCTGTTATCAGCCTAAAATATATCAAGAAAGGATCAGCAAGCTAAGAGGAGCCAAACCAATAATTTTAATTTGTGTTGAGTGTAAAAACCACTGAAAAAAAAAAAAGCTGCATCGCCATCATTAGGAAGAGGGCCATTTTCCTCCAGGGGGACGCATCCCAGAAAACATCCCAAAATTTGTCTCACTCTGAAATACATGATCACATAGGAAACTCACCTTCCTATAGGAAGTCTCCTCTTTGCTTGAGTCTCTTTCTTTTCTCAGCTTGTATATTGTTGTCAATCTTTGAGCGAATGAAGCAGAACAGTTCTTGTGAGCATGCTCACAAGAACAAATGTTATGATATTCTTGTGAATATCAGAACATTTTAAAACTTAGCATACTCTGCTTAATGTGTCACAATTAAGTTAATAAAAATGAAATGAAAAACAAACATTTGATCTATGCTGAAGTGAAATTCTGCAGATACAAAATTTAAAAAAGAAAAAAGAACAATATTAAGTAGAGCACTGATATAATTTTAGTTAAATGAAAATAATATTTCAGTTAAATTCATTTCTCATTGAGTCAAATGTCTTCATTCACAAACAGTGCTGTCTTACACGCCACACGTCTGAACATCAGACTCATCGTTTGGCTGAATGTAGTGTGAGTCCTCTTATCTCTGTGTTTATTATTCTCCTGTTTCAGATTTATTGATTTGATTGTTGTTAATTACATTCACCTGCGTCTCCTCCCCCTCCTGCGTCTAATCTACAATCATTTACTTCTGCATGAAATGATTCGAGTGTCGCCTCCTCCAATGAGAAACATCATTAAATGACGATAAAACAGTGATTAAAAATCTCTGAAGAACTGCAGCAACTAAAACGACAAAGGATGAATGCTGCAGAAATAAAGGTTGATTCTGTTCATCTGAATGTGAACCTTTTGGGATTTACTTACCTGGATGACTGAGCATCCATCAAGACCTTCATTGAAGGAATCAGATTTCTAATTTTGTTCACATTTATTTTATGCTCCTTTTGCAACCTTTCAATTTTATTTCCCAAAGACTCTGCAGTGAGTTTGACATTGTGTTTTGCAGCCAGACCCTCAAATGCTTCGAGTTTTTGGAGACTTTTCTAGTCATTCTGACTTTAGAAAAATCCCTGACTCAGCTTATTACAGATGATTCAAACCACATTTTGACAAATCAGTCATTTCAAATTCATAATGAACGTGATAAGTTACACGTCTTTAATGCATCATAAACAGCTCAGCAGACTTTTCACCAGTGGACACGTCACAAATAACCGCTGCAATCAGTGTTTTCTTCCATACACAGCCGTTTATTGCATGTCTGGCTTTATGTTTCCACAGCTGAGATTCTGTGTGTACAATTACAGTTTCAGTGCAGCGTGAGTCTGTTCACACTGAAGTGATTCCATGTCTCAATGGCCTCTGGAAATCCATAAAAGCAAATAACTGCAGTATTTCAATGTGGATGAAGTGACTGGATATCAATGAATCCACTCCAAGGATGAAGTAGAGAATGCTGCTTTGCTGTTTTTAATCAGTCTCCAAACATTTTCCACTGAGCATTTATCGAATATTTCAGCAATCCATCCACATCCCAGTCAAACCCGAGCACATACAAACTACTTGAAGGCTCGAGACAAGACAAGACGACTGACACGTACAAACGAACACGGTCAACAAAAACCACACTGTCCCTACTCACCCATTCTCCAGGCTGCCCGACCGGTAACCAGGTGAATGTATTTCCCACTCGTTCATTAAGAAATTCACACTGAAATTTTAAAATTAAAAAAAAAAAAAATCTTTTGGCAAGTTTGGTTATATTCCACTGAACACAGTGAGGCATGAGGGTAACACCTCCCACGTGACAAAGAAGCTAACCGTAATCTCTGGAATAGACAAGCAACACCATACACACAATACTTTATCACCACAAAGTCCATATGGCTCCAACACTGTGTTTGGAAAGTGTTTGTTTTTCTAAATTTTGACAAAAAAAGATTTTCAAAGATATATTGCAGCAATGCAAAGTTTGTACAAGACAAATGTTGGGGTTGTTTTTTTTGCAAATGTTGATATTTTACCTACAAATTGATGTGAAATATGATGTCTGCAAAGACCTAAGTTGTGGATTTTAGCTAGAACAGCATAATTAATATCTGTATTATTCCTCTGACCCTGTCTGCTGACAGGTCCTCTGGTGCTGAGGTGGACTCCTCCTGTGATTTAGCCCACTTACTTACAGAGACAGAGAGACTGATTTCCTTCTTTTCCATTGTCTCATCCACACTTTCACACACAGCTGGTGATGCTTAAGACCACTGACTCACATTTTTGGATTCTTATTTTCTTTTGAACCCAGAGATTTTTGGACTCTACCCTTCAGATAAGTTTTTATTTGGGTCTGTGTACAATAAGCTGCTGTGAGGGATGTTCTCTTTGTGTGAGTGATGTTTGGGATTTTCATGGAAATTCAACTTATGTAATCAGATTTTTCTAGAAGCGTTTCAAAGTCAGGTTACCAGGGTGCGCCCGACATTGAGACCTGAGGACTAACACGTGGCCAAGTCTTTATGCTGGTAGTTTTATGTATTAAAATGTTTTTTGTAATTTTCTTTTTCATCATTGTGGCATAAACCTGTGGTTGTCAAATCTGTGGTTCGGTTCACTAAAGCTGGTTTGTTCTTTAAATTTGCATCCCTGCCTCTGTGTCTCATTTAAACACACGGCTGTGCTCCTGTAATCAAACCTGTTGGTCCATTAATATAATCTATACAATAATTGTCACCACTGTGTGACAAGAATAAAACAACATCCTCCAAACCTGCAGCAGGAGAATAAAAACTGTTCAGGGTTCTTGATGTTTCAGGCTTTTTAAAACTAGAAGAGTTTTAAAAAGTCTGAGTGAGGAACTTTCCATTTTCCTGTAAATCTTTCCTCTATTTATTGTCCTTATATAGTTTGCTATTATTAATACACACAGCATCACAAATAATTGTTAAATTTAAAAACTGCAGTCACAGTTTCTCATTATTTCAGACCAGGCCACCAACTGCATTTTATTTTTATTTTATCCATTTCATTCTACTGCTGCACCATCATCCACCTTTTACCAGCTTGTCCTTCATTTGCTTTTTGTAATTCCAGCCTCTAAAATTTCTTCCCATCTTGTTTTGTGTGTTTGCTCCTTGAATTCAGAGCTCTGACCTTCTGTCCTTCTCTCTGCTGTGTTTCTGTCACAGCCACTTCTCTCTGACTGGGATTCATCAGTAAATCTGTGAAATACTGACATGTCTGAGTCCAGCTTTCACTCACTGCTGATGTGATGTTTCACTGCTATCACAGTGCTGCTCAGCCTGAAATGTTCTGCAGGAAAGCCAAGACTCATATTTCTGATGACTTTAAAATGACTGTAGGTTCATTTTTTAGAACAACTCACTGAAAGTCGCTCAGTTTAGTTTCAGATTATAATTATAGATTTGTATACATGTACCAAATAAATTATTGCGTTATGGAGTAAACAGGGACCTATATTACATTTACCTGTAATGATACATTCCAATGAAGCTGAGAGTTCAGTGATTCACCAGGTTTGCTTATCCCACCCCCCAGTTTAGGAGGATATTATGAAATACGCTAAAATACATTTTATTAATACCAGACAGGAATGATGAAGATGAACATTACTGTTCATAGTGTTGAAACTCATTACACACACAAAAAAAACCAACAACAACAATAACACTATTCAGCAGCTCTTCTATATATTACAAAGTTTATAATGTTGCCACAGTTTATATCTGAGTAATGAGATCACATTTGTTCCTGTGTTGATGTGAGGAAGAGGAAACTTTCAGTGTGTGAAGCTGGGAGAAGTTAATCTGTTTCTGCTCTGATCAGAGGAAATGAGACCTGCTGAAGCCCCTGACACACTGATCAGCTTCATTGCCTTTTATTTTTATAGACCCAGAGCTTTTTCAAACACCCTCTGAGCATCATCAGCGAGCTGATTGAGGATAACATTCAGAATTTTATAAGTTGTAGTGAAAGAGAAACCCATGGCTATTGGGATTCCAATTAATGGAATAAATCTGGATACTTCCTCTGCTGCCATTAATGAAGCTGTGCATCCCACTTGGGTCAAGAGGAGCTCTATAGTTATTTCTGCTGCAGCCAGTGGTGAAATGATGACAGCACACAAATCAGCGTAGGGCACACCTGTTCTGGCAGAAAGTCTCTTCAGAGACAGGATATCGAGACCAAACGCATGAACAAAATCTTTGACAGCACCAACCAGCACAGCAGCATCAACATTAACAGAGAGACCAGGAAGTGGAACAGGTGCTCCAACTGCAGACAGAGTGGCCCAGTATGTTAATTTGGACTGAAAAGCTTTTTTCTTCTTGATGATGGTCTCTGGGTTGATGTTGAGCATGACAAACAGCAGAGCATCTCTCTTCTTCATAGGAAGTTCTCTCTCTAAGGTCTCTTGTAAAAGAGAGAAATCACACCAGTGCTGCTTAAAACTCGACACCAGGAAGACCTGTGGAGACTCGATGTCTTGTAGACCTGTGTGATAGAGAAACATGTTGACATGGTTAGATTTATAAAATAATATCATAGGATCCTGTGTGGAAGGAAGTGTCGTGGATCCAATATGCAGGACTCAAGAGAAGCTTTGATGCTGGATTTACAGGTCACAAGATAAACTACAGCAGAAACCTAAGAATCAGGGAACTCTCCAAACAGAGCTCACAGCTGGAGCAGATATGATGACAACATGACAAAGAACAGTGGGAGAAACAGACAATATTTACAAGAGGGAATCAGGACAGAGAGGACAGAGAGGAACACGGCTGAACATAGTTAACTGACGAGACAGGCAGTAAAACTGAACATGGCACACACATGAGACTATCAAAATAAAACAGGAAATAACACACCGACTCTGACAAAGACATGTGAGCTTGACACTGGGACTGGGAATGAACAGACATGGAGACACATGACAGACTGGGTAGACAAAGGATGAAACACAGAGAGAAGAACATGGGAACAGGAAAGGGAGAAACAAAGAGTAGGACTAGAGACGTACTAACAAGACAAGAGAGGGAACACGGAGACACAAGGACACACCTGGGGAGACCATGATCACAAAGGGAACTAACACCCACTAACACGACAGGAAACTAGAAGCATGGATAACTGAACGAGGGAGCACTAGGAAATAATACCAAGCAGGCAGACTAAACAATGCAGAACACATAAATCCAGAAATACAAGAGGAACTCATACAAACTCAAAACACTGTGTCACTGACCCAGGAACCAAGACAAAGACTAAATAATTTAAAACAAGGATATGTTTAAAAAGTGAATCCAGATCTCACTCAGCTGTGATGAGACACTCACTGTGAACGCAGTCGTCTCTGATCTCTGTCAGAGTCCTCTCAGCACTGAAGTCTCTCTTTCTCCTCTCAGCATTTATATCGTTGTCGATCTTTGAGCGAACAAAGTAGAACTTTTTCTTCATCTTCTGAATCTCCTGAGCCAGTTTCACGTCATTTTCTCTGAAGTGAGTGTCTGAGATGATGATGAAAAAGTCAAACTTCTCAAATCCAACAAGCTTCAGGTACTTCTTAGCTGGAAACTTGGTGCTGCCGATTCCAGGAAGATCCCACAAAGTAACATTGGAATAGTTGGGATGGGGGTACAGTGTGACCTCTGAGGTGGTTTGTTTCACACCAGTAGGAGCAGCTCCCTCCTCATCATCACTCACACCTCTGAAGGCATTAACAAAGGTGGATTTACCAGAACCAGATTCTCCTGTGATGGCGATATTTAGTGGAATATTATCTTGTTTTTCTAAATGTTGTTGAATCTCTGCAGCTGCTGCAGCAGTGTCTTTGTGCTGCAGGGCTTCTTTATGTCCAGGAATTTCTTCTGATTCATTGAATCCTCTGGCTCCTCCGTGCTGATCCTAAACAAAAGAAAAATAAGGAAAATTCAAATTTTATGTTAGATGAAGAATTTGTAAATATTTCATATCTTCAGTTTATTTTCTTTATAAAGATAACTTACTGCTGCCGCGTAGTACGTTCCATTCTCAGTTGTGTTAAAAAGCTGGTCTTCATGCTTCTTATCAGGATCCAGGTCTGCTTTCTGGCCAGGACCTCCAGTTTTCTGTACACTACAACTTCAGGTGTGTTCTTGAAACTGAAAACAAAGTTCTCACTGAGGAGGGCGTTCCACAGGTCCTGAATTTTGGTTCTGAGCTGTGAGAGAGTGATCCCAGCAAACTTTGAAGCTTTAGAGAGGATGGTGTTCTTCACTTCTTGGAGGCTCTCGCTGTAAGCTGGATCAGGAGCAGCCATGGGTGGACTGCCCTCCCACAGCTGCCCACAGTATTTCACATCTTCCTGAACATCAAAGTCAATGACATCACTGAAGCGCTCAGCATCACAAAGCTCCTCTTCAGCTGCTAGTTTGGTCATCTGGTCCAGATGTTCCTGCAGGCGTCTTTTTCCGTCCATGTTCTTCTTTGCTGCTGCAACATCTGGAACATCCTGAACAAACACACATCTGGGAGAAAGTTGAACTTTTTTCATCCTCATCAAAGCCTGAACAACAATCTGCAGAATGTCTTGGATCTTCAACAGATCATCTCCAAAGATGCTGATCAGTGTCACGTTTCCCAGACCAACGACAAATGTCGCCAGTTCGTTGTCACGGTAACAAGTCTTGTTACCGTCCAGCTCAGGAGCCTGCAGACCTTCAGTGTCCACCACTAGAACATAGTCAAACTTAAAGTCTGTCTTCATCTCCTCTGATACTTTGAGCAGCTGCATGAAGGCACCCTTGGTACTCCTGCCAGCACCCACTGCAGGCTGCAGTCCAAACATGGAGCTCAGCAGTGATGTTTTCCCACTGCTCTGGAGGCCCAACACTGACAACACAAAAACTCTCTGGTCCCCCAGTTTCTGGATGACTTCCTCTAAGAGGCTGGAGATCCATGTGAAAGGCAGGTGACCTGCATCCCCGTCCATCAGCTCCACTGGGTGTCCTGATATCATCAGCTGTGCAGCCAGCTCAGGGTATTTACACCAGTCAGCGTCTCTGCTCTCTCCAGCTGTTGTTCTGTGGGCTTCATAGATGTGTCCCATTTCTCTGAACATGTGCTCCAAGCCAAAGGATGCAGACTGCAGTTTTTGGGACAAGTCTTGGAGCTCAGTTTGTTTCATTAATAACAGACCAGATTTGTCATGTTTGTTCTTCAGAGCTAAGACCTCCAACCACTTTTCATCATAACCTTGGAGAACAGAAGAAATGTTCTCTGTGGAGAGAGCATCCATGAAGATCTGAGTCCATTTCAGGAAATACTCTCTGTCTGTTGGTGGCAGTGCTGAGAGGCTGTTAATGAACAGCTCCATCAGTTTACTGCAGCAAGCAGCACGTTGTTTCTGACGCATGTCCATCAGTTTCTGCTGCTTTTCACTCTTGTTTTCACTGTCTTCTCTGAGATGTTTCAGTTCTTTGTATATTTTGATCCACTGATGCCACAGATGGTTTTGACAAGGGAGGAATTCCTCTTTGATCTTTGAGATATCCATGTTATCCTTCGTAATTAGCTGCATTATTTCCAGAGCAGCAGATCTGCCTCTCTGACAGGCTGGGTCACTTTCATTCACTCTGACTCCAGAGAGCTCAGCCAGGGTTTCAAGCTGGAAGGATGGTTTCAAACTGGACTCTTCTAGAGAAGATAAAACTTCTCTAATGATCTTTTTCAGCTCTTCAGATACATCTGACTGGTTTCTGCCTTTGAGGCCCATTTTGTATTTTCCCTTTTTTGTCTTGACAGCATCACAGCTGTCATCATCACTGAGACAAATGAGAGGTTTATGAGACTTAAAGAGGGCGGCTATAAGTGATCTGCTTTCCTCATCTTTTTGCAGGGATGCAACAAGGAAAACGTTGATGGAGGATTTTTCAATCAGTATGTCGCGCTGTTTTTCAATCTGCAGAGCATCACCGCGAAGATTACAAAAAGCCATGCAGTCCCTGAAGGCATCAGTGGGTTTCCCAGCAGGGCAGTACCAGGCTATCTCTGCCACACCATCCATCAGATGGCGAGACCTGGTGCTTCCTGGGCAGTTCCTGTGGAAGAAGGTGCTGTGACGGTCGTTGATCAAAGCGTTCATCAGCTGAGATTTAGACACTGACAGAGAACCCAGGCGGAAAAATGACACCAAGGGTGTCTGAGCTTTGCAGACTGGAACACTCTTCATGGTGACGATGGGTGAGCCATCTTTGATCTGAGTCGCCGTCCAGGTTTTTGTTATCTGTCTGAAAGTCCACAGAGGACACTCAATCTCCATTGTGACTGGGTCAGGGACCAACAAAGGTAAAGCATACTGACACTGAGAGAGCTTTGTGACCATCATCTGTTTAAGGAAGCTGTCTGAGCAGTGAAACACGGCCATCTGAACATCCATTGGATGCACACGAGTCTGTTCTGTGTCCACGCTGGTGTTCAGAAAAACCTCCCAATCACTGTAATGCTTCTCAGGGATGTCAGTCACCGGCCTGGGCTTTGGCTCTGTCCCCTCAGGACTGTCTGCTCTTACAGGAATATATCTGGCCCTGCAGTCTAACATCATCAGCCTGCGGACAAACATGTGAGCCAGATGTTTCTCAGATGTGACATGGTGCCGTGTCACAGGTGGACGGATCTGAAGAAAATCCTCTGGTGAGAATTTCTGCTGCAGTTTGTCTTGAAGCTGAAGTCTATCAATCAGTGTCTCAGTTTGTCTTTGACATGGATTCTTTGTGAGTTTATCAGAAACCTTCACTGACTGCAGGAAACAAGCAAACAGTTTGTTAAGGACTGATACTGTCATAGAAACTGCAGGGAGTACAGAATTATTAGGCAAATGAGTATTTTGTCCACATCATCCTCTTCATGCATGTTGTCTTACTCCAAGCTGTATAGGCTCGAAAGCCTACTACCAATTAAGCATATTAGGTGATGTGCATCTCTGTAATGAGAAGGGGTGTGGTCTAATGACATCAACACCCTATATCAGGTGTGCATAATTATTAGGCAACTTCCTTTCCTTTGGCAAAATGGGTCAAAAGAAGGACTTGACAGGCTCAGAAAAGTCAAAAATAGTGAGATATCTTGCAGAGGGATGCAGCAGTCTCAAAATTGCAAAGCTTCTGAAGCGTGATCATCGAACAATCAAGCGTTTCATTCAAAATAGTCAACAGGGTCACAAGAAGCGTGTGGAAAAACCAAGGCGCAAAATAACTGCCCATGAACTGAGAAAAGTCAAGCGTGCAGCTGCCAAGATGCCACTTGCCTCCAGTTTGGCCATATTTCAGAGCTGCAACATCACTGGAGTGCCCAAAAGCACAAGGTGTGCAATACTCAGAGACATGGCCAAGGTAAGAAAGGCTGAAAGACGACGACCACTGAACAAGACACACAAGCTGAAACGTCAAGACTGGGCCAAGAAATATCTCAAGACTGGTTTTTCTAAGGTTTTATGGACTGATGAAATGAGAGTGAGTCTTGATGGGCCAGATGGATGGGCCCGTGGCTGGATTGGTAAAGGGCAGAGAGCTCCAGTCCGACTCAGACGCCAGTAAGGTGGAGGTGGAGTACTGGTTTGGGCTGGTATCATCAAAGATGAGCTTGTGGGGCCTTTTCGGGTTGAGGATGGAGTCAAGCTCAACTCCCAGTCCTACTGCCAGTTTCTGGAAGACACCTTCTTCAAGCAGTGGTACAGGAAGAAGTCTGCATCCTTCAAGAAAAACATGACTTTCATGCAGGACAATGCTCCATCACACGCGTCCAAGTACTCCACAGCGTGGCTGGCAAGAAAGGGTATAAAAGAAGAAAAACTAATGACATGGCCTCCTTGTTCACCTGATCTGAACCCCATTGAGAACCTGTGGTCCATCATCAAATGTGAGATTTACAAGGAGGGAAAACAGTACACCTCTCTGAACAGTGTCTGGGAGGCTGTGGTTGCTGCTGCACGCAATGTTGATGGTGAACAGATCAAAACACTGACAGAATCCATGGATGGCAGGCTTTTGAGTGTCCTTGCAAAGAAAGGTGGCTATATTGGTCGCTGATTTGTTTTTGTTTTGTTTTTGAATGTCAGAAATGTATATTTGTGAATGTGGAGATGTTATATTGGTTTCACTGGTAAAAATAAATAATTGAAATGGGTATATATTTGTTTTTTGTTAAGTTGCCTAATAATTATGCACAGTAATAGTCACCTGCACACACAGATATCCCCCTAAAATAGCTAAAACTAAAAACAAACTAAAAACTACTTCCAAAAACATTCAGCTTTGATATTAATGAGTTTTTTGGGTTCATTGAGAACATGGTTGTTGTTCAATAATAAAATTATTCCTCAAAAATACAACTTGCCTAATAATTCTGCACTCCCTGTATTTCTAAGATCTTTGGTATAAATTTGGACTTTCCTACCATGTTTCCACTCACGTCCTCACCTGAGGAACCTGCGAGATAAAAACAAACCAGGAGAACAGATCATGTGACTGGACCGGACCAATAAAACAGTCAAACTCCCACAGGTAACATGAATGATACAGTCCTATACAGACTGAGTGAATCCAAACTGCTGTGCCATGACAGACAGTCACTGTGTGGAGCACACAGGGCATCACTAGGTTTATGTATGTTGTATGAATCATTACTGTGAAAGTCAGACATGAATCTGAGTCACTTTCAATCAGTTTGACGCACATTGATAAGTTTGTGTAACAGACGTGATGTAGATACAGAAAAACTACGTGAAGGTTTACTGACAGTCAGACAGAGGACTCTGTATTCTTTTCATTTACATTATAAACCCTCAGTGGTCACAATAAAAACACAATTATTCACTGATTATTGAAATGAAAGAGTCCTGAAGACACACAGCATCCCCTCTCAGCTGTATCATCATTTCTGTCTCAGCAGCACAAAACAGCTGTTTGACCAACAAGGAGATAAAAATTCATCCAACAAGAGCTCCGGTTATATTCAAGCTCTTTGGAAAAACTCCCGGAGGAAACATGACTGAGCTGGTTGGAGAATGAAGAGAGTGGAACGCTTTGAAAGCAAAATGAAGCTGCGAACAATCATCAAACTTTTTTCTTCTGTGAAGATTCCCAATCAGGAGAAACACATTTACAATCACATCATCAGTAAAATAATAAGAACAATAATAAAGTTGAGCGAGTCAATGTGTTCAAACCTTTGAAACTTCACTGAAGGTGTGAAATCAAACCTTGAGATTCTCCTGCAGACAGCATGTGTACAACAACATGATCATAGAAACACATTTTCCTGCTGATCAGGTGAGAAGATTTTACCTTTGTTGGAGCGTTCCTCGTTCTCATCTTCTTCACCTTCATGGAGGAAGAAACAGAAAACAGGATCTTTGTCAGAGATTTCTTTCAAAGACGAGACCTCAGATCTGATCTCAGCCTCTCCTCCACCTGCTGCTGCTGTGCTGTGAAGGTTCTCCATCTCATCTGCTCCTCATCTTTACAAAGGATCCACACATCATCTGTTTGTTTTGTTATCTATCAAAACAGAAAATAGAAATAAATAGAAATATTTAAAAGTGCTAAAAAGAGTCTGGGACCTGAGAGCAGACATCCGAGATCTTCGTGAGCAGAAAGGTGAAAACATCAGAGCTCATAGATGCTGAATGGACGTCAGATCTTATATCTGCTGCTGATACGACCGTGCTTCACATTTCCACCTCTGAATATGAACCTGACTGTAATGCAAATATTCAGGCTTTGGATAAACGTTGGATAAAGTTTCACATTTTCATTATTTAACTGTAACATCTGCTGTCATCAGCGGCAGTTTATAAAGACATGAAATCCATATTGAGGATAACTGAGTTCATCTTGTTGGTGCAGCGCTCCACAGCAGTCCCAGTTACTCATGTGACACCATGAGAAAAAGAATTACCCACCACTGGCTTATGTTTAAGAGACATCAGTGGTTAATAACAGTTAAACACAGTCAGGTAACTGTGTGATGATGAACCAAAGTCAGGGTGTTTTTTCTAATACTTATTTAATTTATTTCATTTTTGTGTGGTACATTTGAAAGTTACACATCTAAAAGTAAATGTGTATAAGTTTGAAATATTAAAAACCCAAAACAACAACAAAGTAATGATTATGTTTTCACGAGAAATGAACCTCCTTTTAACAACCTCACCAGATGTTTGTGCAGATTATTGCGTTTACGAGGCGCACTTAAATGCATCACAGCCGTTGCTTTTTACCGTACCATACCGCAACATGAGTAACGTCTCAGCACCTTCTTTGCCTATAACTAAAACAAAGCTTAAACTGAAGAGTGTAACACTGATCTAAGTGTGTGTGTGTGTGTGTGTGTGTGAGCGCAGACATCCTCATTAAATCCTCTTCCTCGGGTCAGAGCTGTCACATTAACTTTTATCTTTAAGTCAGAGTTTCATAACTGGACGGTTTAATGAAGCATTTACACACCACAGAAAACTCTTACCTGCGTGTCTCTCGAGCTTTTCCTGGTTTTTAATTTAGTTTCGGTTTCTAAGGACGGTCGTCAGAAGAGGAACTTCCTGTGGAGCTCCAACCAATCAGAGCGTGATGTTTTTACGGTACCGTGATGGTGTCCACTTAAAAGTTATTATAGTTTATAGGTTATTATAAATTTAAACTGAAAACTAAGACTAGATGTCAAAACTATTCAGTTAACTAAAATTAAAAATAATGTTTTTTAAAAACTAAAATAAAGTATTTTAGTTTTTATTGTTTGGTAGAAATTTATTCAAACGTGCTGGGTGAGGCTTTCATGGATGTGTTTATACCTGTGCGATTTTCCTAAATATTGCCTCTGATATATGCCCTCCATACTTTAATAATTTAAAGGACAAGAACTAAAGAACCAAGAAAATCCACAGTAGAAACTCACTCAAACTAAACTGAATAAACAACAAAAAGTGAAACAAAAATAAAAGTGACTTAGAAAGTACAATAATTATGGTCCACCTGCCTGGGCAGAGGCTGTGTGGAGGGATTAGGCTTCACAGGGATGGTGTGTGGGAGAAGGCTTATCTTTTATCCTTCTTACTTTGAGTACATTTCAGAGACTTTTTTACTTTTACTTGAGTAAAGAAGTTGGTCCTGTTCCTCTAGTTAAATCAATGGTTCCCAATTTTTTTTTGCAGGCCCCCCTTTGTTTTACAAGAAAAATGCCCCCCGCGCGCACACGCACAAACACATCCTCCAACCACACGCACCCATATTTTGCTCCATTGCGGTTTATTTCACACATCAAACATTTAGTAAACAATTAAGTAAATATAAGTGATGAATATTAAAATAAAATAAACTGAATAAACTTATGTTTGAATGGCAGAGATGCAGAAATGCCTGCATGTAGCCCAGAGTCACGGTCAGTGTCTGAATGAGTCTCACAGGACTGGATGTGAGCGTGAAGCCATTTATAATAATTATAAATTATAATTATTATAATTCTCTGATCTGCTGCTCATCACAAACAAGCACACACAGATATTTTGGACTTGAGTTTTACAGCTTTTCCTACTGATAAAAACGTCCCTTATGGCCCTTCATACTACACACAGTAATTCAGCTAAAAACAATGAAATGACAAAGTTTTTTTTTTTTTCTTTCTGCTATTTATTTATTTTTTTACAGACTCCAAAAAGGAAAAGTAAGAAAAACTGGATAGTCTGGGCAGTGAGCTAGCAGAACATTTTCTGTCATTCCATTTCTTACAGTTTCAGTCCAGAGAGTCGTGCTGACAGATTTCTTTGTCACAGCAGCTTTTTCCTCATCTTGTAGAAAAACAGTTCGGTCTGTGACTTCTTCACACTGAGAGAACGTTTCACTGGTCCGGCCAACTTAAGGTCAAAGTGGACCGTATTTGGCCTGTAATGTAAAAAAAAAAAAAAATTAGGGGTCTGTAGTTCTTCTAGGTTTAACTACTAGAAGAACTACAGAAATGATGTGATGCTGTTTTTGTAGTTCTTTGTTAACATCAGCACTTTGGGCTGAATCAGCTGAAATGATGAGACTGGAGTTATCATTTTGTAGCTTTCAGCATAATAACCTCTTTTGATGCAGACTGTATGGGGTAAGGTAACATGTAGAAGTGTGTAGCACAGAAACTAGATTGTGATGAGTGGTCACTGCCCTCCAGTGGTCACAGTGAGGAACTGCAACAAATGATTTATGTATGATTTATAACTTTTATCTCCATCATTGTTGATAACATTTTATTGGTACACATTTATTTTCTATGAGTTTGTCTTAAAACATTCAGATGCTCCATGTCATTCATGGTGAATAATAAATATTCAGCAGAACGTACAGGAGAGGACTTGATGCACAGACTGGATCGATCATGCAGCTGATGAGGCTGTCATCAGGACATCAGCAGCACATTGCTGACTAAGAAGTATATTGATAGATACATATGAACTAAATTAAAAAGTCAGATTTAGAAAAACTCCTCACTGCTCAAAACAACAAAGTCACATTATGTTGACCTGAAGTCTGAGCGTGGTCAAAAACACGTTTCCTCACAGCGTTACTGGGGGCCAAGGTAATGACATCCAGAGTAAGAATCTGCTTAGATACCATATTTCTAAGATTTTCAGGGCCGAGTACAATAACCTCAGTTTGATCTGAATTAAGAAGCAGAAAGTTAGCGGCCATCCAGGTCTTTATGTCTTTAAGACATTCCTGCAGTTTAACTCATTGGTGTGTGTTATCTGGCTTCATGGACAGAGAGCTGGGTGTCATCAGCATAGAAGTGTAAATGTATGCTATGTCTTCTAATGATGCTGCCTAAGGGAAGCATGTATAATGTAAACAGAATTGGTCCTAGCACTGAACCCTGTGGAACTCCATAATTAACCTCAGTGTGTGAAGAGGACTCTCCATTTACATGCACAAACTGGAGTCTATTAGACAGATATGATACAAACCACTGCAGTGCAGTACCTGTAATACCTACAGCATGTTCTAATCGCTCTAATAGGATATTATGGTCGACAGTATCGAACGCTGCACTGAGGTCTAGCAGGACAAGCACAGAGATGAGTCCACTGTCAGAGGCCATAAGAAGATCATTTGTAACCTTCACTAAAGCTGTTTCTGTGCTGTGATGAGCTCTGAAACCTGACTGAAACTCTTCAAATAAGCCATTCCTCTGCAGATGATCTGTTAGCTGTTTGACAACTACTCTTTCAAGGATGTTTGATATGAAAGGAAGGTTGGAGATTGGCCTATAATTAGCTAAGACTGCTGGGTCTAGAGATGCTTTTTGAGTAAAGGTTTAACTACAGCCAGCTTGAAGGCCTGTGGTACATAGCCGATTATTAGAGATAGGTTGATCATATTTAAGATCGAAGAATTAATTAATGGCAGGACTTCTTTGAGCAGTTTTGTAGGAATGGGGTCTAAAAGACAGGTTGATGGTTTGGAGGAAGTAATTATTGAAGTTAACTCAGAAAGATCAATTGGAGAAAAAGAGTCTAAAATATCAGCAGTTATCAAATTTGGGATTTTTTTTCAATGGTTACATTTTATTTGTAAAGAAGTTCATGAAATCATTACTAGTCAAAGCAGGGGTGGGGAACTCCAGGTACCAAGGCCCGGTGTCCTGGCGGTTTTAGATAACACGCCCTGGGTCAGCACACCTGAATCAAATGATTAGTTCATTAGCAGGCCTCTGGAGAACTTTAAGACATGTTGAGGTGGTAATTTAGCCATTTAAATCAGCTGTGTTGGATCAAGGACACATCTAAAGCCTTCGGGACCTGAGGCCTGGAGTTCCCCCACCTCTGTGTTAAAGGGATGGTTGACTCAACAGAGCTCTGACTGTTTGTCAGCCTGGCTACAGAGCTGAAGATAAACCTGGGGTTGTTCTTAGGGTTGTAGTGAGATGTTCTGGCTTTGCGGCAGGCTTTCTTATAAAGCAACAAACTATTTCTCCAGGCTAAATGATGATCCTCTAAATTTGTGACACGCCATTTCCTCTCCAGCTTACGAGTCATCTGCTTTAGGCTACGTGTTTGAGAATTATACCACGGAGTCAGGTACTTCTGATTTGAGGCCTTAGTTTTCACAGGAGCTACAGTATCCAGAGTCGTACGTAGTGAGGAGGTGAAATTATTAACAAGATAATCGACTTCTGTTGGGGCAGCATTCAGATAGCTGCTCTGCTCTGTGTTGGTACAGGGCATTGAAGATGATAACAGTGGGTGGATTATATTCTTAAACTTAGTTACAGCGCTTTCAGAAAGACATCTACTTTGATAAAGTCTACTCTCCCCTGCTATGTAATCAATTATTGTAAATGTAAATGTTATCAGGAAATGATCAGACAGGAGAGGGTTTTCAGGAAACACCGTTAAATGTTCAGTTTCTATGCCATATGTTAAAACAAGATCTAGAGTGTGATTAAAGTGGTGGGTGGGTTCTTTTACATTTTGACAGAACATGAACTCAACCTGGCTCAAGCTGCACCTGGAAGCCTCCCTGACAGCCAATGTTGCCTCTAAGCTGCGCGCGTGCGCAATTGCGCACTGCTGGCACGGTCTCTGCACACAGTAAATGTGTTGCGCACAAAAAAAAAAATCTAACTTGAATTGAAATTAAAATAAATACCTTAACAATTCTGTTTTGCAGAGTTACAGACCTATCTTCCAGACCACAGACTCATAATACAAGTCAGAGCTTTATTTTTAAAAACAAGAAAGTTGTGTTTTCAAAATTGGAGTTCAAGTTATTTTTACTTCCAATAGTGTTAACATGCTACACAGGTCATGAACAAGATATTTTTAAATTTTCATTGTAAGTGGGCTAAAGCAGTTAATTAAAAGTAGTCTAACATAAATGGTGTAGTTTGATAATTTTTTTGAACCATGTAACTTGGATGGATTCGATGCTGGTGTGACCACAGTGGTCCAAGGGACGCTCAGGGAGTTTGTGTGTTCGCTCAGACATATGAAACATTAGAGGGAACATTGCTGCCAGCCTACACTGCCAAACGTAGTGCACTGGCCTATATAGCAGGTGGACTGGGTACACCTGAGGACGCTCCTGGGCTACCTTAATTGCCCAAAGGCAGGGAAAACCCTTCCTTAGCGGATATAGTACTCCTGGCTCCAAAGCCGGGAAAGTTGTCAGGAGGATTGATTGTTATTACCCTGCTTGATGTCTGCGATTTTGCGGGCTTTTGGACTCACTTTGGCCAAAAACTGTCAAAGGGACACCATTAAAAATGATGGACGACAGCGTGTGAGAACAGCGACTTTCCGAACAGCACCCGGAAAGTCCTGGAGTAGTGCCAGAATGTTATGTAACCTGAGCGACGGAGATTAAAAAAGGTACAAAGTGCAAGTAGGATAACTGATTAGGGCAAAGTACTGACAAACGTTTTACATTGATAAAACGTTTGTTTTATCCATTGATAAAGGGAACGGCGAGCTTTTTGCTTCTTCTGATGTTTTGCTGAATTTGATCTTTCAATAAACACAGAACTCTGCTCTTCACCTGTGATCATTT